ACTCCCACGTACGCCCATCCGCACGGAGGTACGCATGTACGTACGCACGCAGAGGGTTGAGACTTCATACTCGAGTGTCCACCCTGAGTGGCTGCAGAGCAGCTTCGCAGACAAGGGGCGTTTACCTTCGGGACAAATTGAGGTCGCCAATTGGTCATTTGCTGACACGCCTATTGGATTGATTGACAGGTAAAAAAAAAAAAAAACGAGAGCTGGCAGCCCCAGCCACAGCGTTCTATATGTTGTTAATAAAAAGTTATAAAAAAAAACAACAAAAAAAAAAAACGGAGCGCTGGCTCTGCAGCCCACACATCAGATCAGCCCACCAGGAAATCTCCAGACCCTCCCGCAGCCATGTTGGACCTGATTTTAATTCACTCATGACAAATTCCTTCATTTCTCACAATTTCAGTCAAGCATCAACGGAGGAGGAAGAGATTGCTTGCCTCTTGGCAAAAAACAAAAGAAAAGGCCAGATCAGGGATGAAAAAGGGTAATTTAATACATTGGTGTCGCGTACAAAAAAGTCCATCGCCAGGCAGTTTATTGTGCGACACGTCGTAAAAATTTAGCTTTGCGCGGACACGCCCTGCGGAAGTACACGCTTACCTCCGCGTACAGACACGCGTACCTTCACGTACGGACGCGGGAGTATACTGGGGGCTTCAGCCCCTCCATTTGCACTTGGGTTCTAGACTTCTTAACAGACTGCAGTGAGGATCCCCAACTTCTCCTTCTCCACCATAACCTTCAGCACTGGCTCCCCCGAGGGCTGTGTGCTGAGCCCTCTTTTCACTTGGCTCACATATGACTGTGCACCGACCCATCCAGGATGTCATATTGTAAAGTTTGCAGATGATACAGCGGTGGTGGGATGTATAACAAACAATGATACCAGCTACAGGCAGGAGGTTGAAAAACTGGAGAGCTGGTGCAGGAAGAACAACCTTTACATCAATGTGAAGAAGACGAAGGAGATGGTCGTGGACTTCAGAAGGAGCAAACACCACCTACACCCCACCGAAGATAGGACGATCTGCGGTGGAAGTCCAGGACATCCTTGTAAAAGAGATTGATGATCTCAATGGATTTCTTCCTGGTAAAATAAAGGTATATAAAAAAGTGGTCTCCAGCAACAAGTACTATACTTGGGTGTGCACCTGAACAACAGCCTCATTTGGGGCAACAATACTACCAGCTTGATCAAGGAAAGCTCATCAGAGACTCTACTTCCTCAGGCGGCTGAGGTGAGCTAGTCTGGGAAGCTCAGTCTTCATCTCCTTCTACAGGTGTGCAGTGGAAAGCACTCTGTGCTCCAGCATCAACATGTGGCATGGAGGTTGCACAGCTGCAGAAAGAAAATCTCTGCAGTGAGTGGTGAAGGCTGCACAGAAGTCTGTTAGAGTCAGCCTCCCTAACATCACAGACATCTACACCTCCAGATGCAGGACAAGAGCCACCTGCATCATGAAGAACCCCACTCATCCAGCACACACACCTTTTGCCTGACTTCCCTCAGGCAGGAGGTTAAGGAGCATTAAGTGTAGAATCACTAAACTGAGGAACAGCTTCTACCCTGAGGCTGTTCAACTGATGAAGCTCTAATCAGGGTAATCACTGTGAAAAATCTCATCATGTTGCTGCTGATCTGTTTCATGTTGTTGTGTTCATTCGTGCTCATCTGCTCACACAGACTTGTTCGTGCTACTGGTCGGCGTATTGTTTTTATTGTTTCTATGCTTCTAGTGCTTAGTGTATTTTAGTTAACATTTTTCTTAGTTTGTATCTTAGATCTTATTACTGTTTTTCTTTTACATTTTAATATTTTGTTGGTTGCAACTGGGACCCTGTGTACACAATTTCATTCCACCACATGTAGTGGAATGACAAATAAAGACTCTTGAATCTTGATTTACTCAGTGAGAAACTGCAGCACAGAACTCCTAGGAATCTAGGAGTATTCCAAGGAATATTGCAGAGTCTCCACGCTTCCATTACTGTACCTATTTTTGCTTCCCTTACTGCCAACAGACACAATACAAACTCAGACAGTATACGCCATTTGCAATTTGGAAATTTGTCACAAGAAACCACCACAGTTTCTGCCAGATGGTGCACAATAATGAGCTAACAAATGGAATGTTTCCCTACGCTGCCCGGCCGAGGTTTGCTCTCTACAGACCAGCAAAGCCACAGAGCCTGTATTGATGCACTGTCTCACCTGTGTAAAAAGTTGTGTTGCTTTCATGGGTTGTTTGATGTTTAACCCTTGTGCCATCTTGAGGGGTCGTTCAGACCCCCCTCACAAAACCCACCCACAAGACCGGGTGGGGGTGGGTATCCAGACCCCACCTTCCCCGTGTATCGGGGGGAGTCATCCAGATGCATTGTGTGACCCCTCATATACCCCCGAGGTCTCAATGACCCAACGATACCTGCGTGTGTGTGTTTATGTCATCCAGACCCCCCACATATGACGTACCCTCCAGGGGGCAGACCCAAGGATACGTGTGTGTGTGTGTTCCTGCATGCGTACCAGCCAGCCAGCTAGCCACGCCTCATCGTATCCCCGGGTCTTTCTTCTCACCCAACACCTGCCTGGGTGAAAGTGTGCTCACTCTAAACTCCACCCCCCGGCCTGTTCTTTTTTTCAAAGATAAGGTGGCGGCGGCGATTGAGGATTTACCCCAAAAAATAAAATAAATTAATTAAAAACTAAATATTAAAACAAAATAAAATTAACATTTCTTTTTTTTCCCCTCTCTCTCTCTCTCTCTTCCCTCCCCTTCCCCCTCAACTTTTGTCATTTCGGTAGAGCTCCCCCCCCCCCCCCCCCCCCATGGCAAAACCCCCCAAAACAAACAACAAACAAACAAACAAAAAAATGTCGGTGTCTCTTCAGGCAGTACATGCCCAACAAGCTGGCCAAGTAGAGCATCAAGTTGAGGGTGGCGTACGACGCGTGATCCAGCTATACGTGTTAAATGCAGGTGTATGCAGGCAAACGCGACAAGAGAAAAACCTAGGCTGCCGCATGGTCCTTAACCTCACCGAGGGACTGGGGCCCGGGCACAACGTGACGTTCGACAACTTCTTCCATGCTGCGCCGCGACTGGGCCTGACGGCGCTCGGCACCATGAGAGCCAACAGGCCCGAGATACCCGAGCGGCTGCTCAAGACCAGAGGCCGCGAGGTAGGCTCATCGTGGCTCGCCTTCGTCCGCTGACCCGTCTCAGTGGCCATCGTCTCGTACGTGACCAAGCGCAACAGGAACGTACTGATCCTGACCACCGCCGAGAGGCACCTGAGTAGCAGCGGCACCTCCTCAAATGTCAACCGAGATGACAAATAATAATAAGTAGAGTGTGTGGCGGGTGGCTGCGGCAAACCCCTCGTGATGCTCCACTACAACAGCACCAAGGGCAATGTTGACAACCTGGACAAGGTGCTGACCACGAACAGCTGCAGGAGAAAGACCAACCGCTGGCCCGTGGCTCTCTTTCACAACATGGTGGACGTGTCCATGTACAACACATTTGTGCTGTGGCGGGAGCTGCGTCCTGATTGGCTGCCCAGCAAGTGCAACAAGTACAGGCTCTTTCTGGAGCGGCTGGGCAAAGTGTGTGTGGAAGAGCTGTTGGTGGCGGATGCCACAGAGGACGACACATGGTGGCGGAACGAAGCCATCGCCGACAGAGCGCCTTCTTCTCCCGAGAGTAGTAGGAGGAGGAGGAAGAGGTGCGGGCTGTGTCCCAGGAGCAGGGATGCCAAGATGAGAACATGATGCATCAAGTGCCGCGTGTACGTGTGTGGATGGTGTACGCTTCAGTATTGTGTGGCGTGCGGGCGTGACCGCATGCCTGTGCCCGAGGAACGGAGCTTAATGTGTTGTGCGCGCGCGCGTGTGTGGGGGGTTTCACCGTGACCCCCCCGCATGAGACATTACCACGGGTGCACAAGGGTTAACTACCTTTCTGAGTCCTGTTGGAAAAGTAGCTCTTAGATTTCTAACAAATTCTTCAAGCTGATCTTTAGCAGAGCATTTGAAGTAAAATGATCCAATAGCAGTTTATCCATTTTTCCAATTATGTCTTGATCTCTTCTCTCTGCCACCTGCCACGCATACTTGTCCATCGCAATGACGATCATACTCTTCACCTGTTGCCTGCTCTATATAAGAACACCGTCCATGCCAAGTCTCTGCCAGATTATCGAACACTTTTTGCCAGTAGATGTCTAGCGTTTATTCCAAGCCCATGCCTGATTTCCTTGTCACAACCTCACACCTGTTTCCTGGGTTTTCCGTCTTGTCTGCCCCATGTCTGATTAGTTCTGCTCATCTGATTCTGGTAACTATGACTTCTTTCTGCCCATCGGTTTTTGGAATAAAGATTCCACTCTGGATTTGTTTTCTGACCTTGGCTTCCTTGTGTATGACCCTTGCTTCATCACTTGGACCACGGTTAAAGTTTGCCCCTCTGTCGGATCTGCTCTCAGCATTAAAGGCCTCTCTCTCCAACTGCTTGCCCACCACTTACGGTGACATCTAACTAATGCCGCTCCTCCAAGCTCTGGGAGTTGGCTCTACATCTCACCTAACTCCCCTCACCTGTCTGAAAATGTTAGTGGCTATTTCCTGCTCTTATGTGCATTCCCTGAGACCTACAGCCTACTAATGGTGTTCTCTCTCCAGACCAGTTCCTGTGCAAAGATCCAGACTCCCGCCTTATCACAATAAAATTGATAAAACGTTCTTAATGTCCGGCTGAACTTTTGAATCCAAAACTTGGGTCTTGTCAATTTAAACACAGCCACTATAAATTTCTGACCGATCACAGAAAAGTTGATGAGAGAAAAAAATTTCAGCTCAAACCTTGTGTCGAGAATGGGCTCTGGACGCCCCCAGAGAAAAAAATTACGTTTTTTTGTCATGCAAAAGCAGTTTTTTTTTCTCCCACTTTTTAATATGAGAACCAATCCAGCTTCATATTATAACTTACTTCAGTATCTTGAGGGGAATAGATGTGTCCTTGATGGCAACAATGACTCCACCATGGTCTAGATACAGAATATGATGCTCCTCTTCAAAAACCTTTCAGAGACATTTATAAAAGGTTTAAAAAACACCAGTTTAATTTATCAATGATGTGTTTCACTTACAAAGTAAAATGAAACCAGATGGATTCAAAACATGGCCTTTTAATGAATATTTTAAGGATTTTCCTCAGAACAGACAAGGTTCACAGAAAGAACAATGTGAAGACAAAGCAAAGAAAACATGGTGCACCTGTCTCCATGTCTTCCCACAGTCTGAAGTGATGTACATTTCTTCTTTATACTCCACCAGCTTGGAGCCCAGGTTACCTGAGGGAAAGATTAATGATACAGTGTTCTGCTATTGAAACAAACAAGAGTAACAAACTCAAAGAAGAGGCCAGAGAGTAGAGAGAAGAGAAAAAGGCATGAGGATTTCTCACTAAGACCTTTTTGATTGCTTTGCTTCTGTTTTTAACAAGTGATCAGACAGAACCAACATACCTTACAGATGTGTTTTAGATTAGCTAAATGTGTAGAAATATAGGAAACCAATGATTTTTCATGACAAAAGTTCCTCATGAACATTTCAGTGGACAGCACTTTGACTTTAACACACATCACAAAGCTGCACCCTCTTTAGTTGCATATTTCTTACTTTCATTATTAGTTCCAAAAATCTGCATTACAATTTGTAATGTATGAACAGATAATTTTCCTCTTGATTAAATCAAACATCAGATCAGCTCTTTACCCTCTCTATGGTCCTCGAGTGGTCATGGGAGTTTTCCCATCCAGTCTACATGTGTTTTGTGGACTTGGAGAAGGCATTTGACTGTGTTCCTCGGGGTACACTGTGGGGTACTCTCAGTGAGTATGGGATTGGGGGCCTGCTGCTACGTGCTGTACAGTCCCTATACAAGCAGTGCGAGAGTTTGGTTCGCATTGCCGGTAGTAAGTCAGACACCTTCAGGGCGGGAGTTGGACTCCACCAGGGCTGTCCTTTGTCACCGATTCTGTTCATAACTTTTATGAACAGAATTTCTTGGTGCAGCCAGGGGGCGGAGGGATCCTGTTTTGGTGGTCTCAGAATTCCATCTCTGCTCTTTGCAGATGATGTGGTCCTGTTGGCGTCATTGTGCTGTGATCTACAGCTCTCACTGGAGCGGTTCGCAGCCAAGTGTGAAGTGGCTGGGATGAGAACCAGCATCTCCAACTCTGAGGTCATGGTCCTCAGTCAGAAAAGGGTGGATTGTGCTCTCCAGATCGAGGATGAGGTTGTACCTCAAGTGGATGAGTTCAAGTATCTCAGGGGTTTGTTCACAAGTGAGAGAAGAATGGAGCATGAGATTGACAGGTGGTTGGTGCAGCAGCGGCAGTGTTGCAGACTCTGTACTGGTCCGTTATGGTGAAGAGGGAGCTGAGATGTAAGGCAAAGCTCTCTGTTTACCATTCAGTCTACGTTCCTACCCTCACCTATGGTCACAAACTCTGGGTAGTGACCAAAAGAATGAGATTGCGTATACAGACAGTTGAAATTAGTTTCCTCTGCAGGGTAGCTGGACTCTCCCTTAGAGATAGGGTGAGAAGTCAGATTACAAATCATTTAGTCTTTTTTAACACTTCCCTTTAAATTTATTTTGATTTTGCACATTTGTTTTTTACATCACATTGTATTTTTAGGACAGGATTGGATAATGAAAAACTTGTAAGCTCAAACAAATAAATTTTAAATAAATAATTTGAATGATATTTTGATATATATATATTTTTTTGCTTCATATTTGCTTTTTTTTTTACATGCTTCATATGAGCCAAATTAAGCCTTTGTCAACTTTTAAAATCCTTATAAAACCTAAGTGTTAAGGACCAGGCCTCCCTTGCAAAAAAGATCTGTGATCTCAATAGGATTTGCCTGGTTAAATAAAGGTTAATAAAATTAATAACACAATAAAAAAACAACATATCAAGTGCTAAAACTGACTGTTTTTGTGTCTCTAGCTTAGCTGAATTTTAAATCAGCAGCTAGATTATATATATATATATATATTATATATATACATATACAGGCATATTAAATATTCAGTCACTGATTGATCGTATGAATCTGGGGCTTTACCTACTTCGGCACATCAAAGTCTACATGGTTGGAAACATCTTGAATTTTAATGACAGGAAAACAGAAGTGATGGTATTTGGCCCCAGAGGCTTCTGTGAGCCTCGCTTGGTACCCTGGAGGTGCAGGTAAAACCAACAGTTTCTAATTTGCTCCTGGAGGTTAAACAAAAAAATGAGCCACAAAGCTTAGGAGGTAACTGGAGCCATTTTCAAAACCTTATTTTCTCTTTTATGTGTTGTTCGTGACAACTTAATTGACAGCTAATGGTACAGTATGGCTGTTTAAGAATATTTGTAAAAATTCTGTTTCTTGTCTGGATAAAGATTTTTTTCTAACAGAGAAACAAAACATGGAAAAACATCTGGATTAGTGTATTAAGGGTACACAGTTACAGCATCCTTGGCTTAGAACCATCCAAGTTTACTGATTTCAAAAAATACACTCATGTTGATGTTTCATTTCCCTGGATGTTAATGCAACGAAGCAAAACTATTCTAAAATTCTAATTTCTGTATACTGTGATTGTTGGTAACTAGTTGAAAACACAAAATAACATAAAAAGATTAAGCAAAATTTGGCAGAACCACAATGAATTGGTACTTTTTACACAGTTGTATTTATTCTCAACAAATAAAAATCATGACATTTGCACAACATTCTTGCAAAATTGGTGCATTTTGGTTCATCACGATTTAGTAGCAATTCATTCAACCTTTATTTATATAAGTTAATCCTCTGGGACTCATGTACTGTACAAGAGAGACCTGAATGTCTCCATTCAATCTTAAATTGGTTTTGTTGGTGAGGTCCTGTGACTCCATCCATCCATCTTTAACTGCTTCTTCCTTTTTGGATTGCGGGGAGTCACTGGTGCCCATATCCAGCTGTCACTGTGTGAGAGACGGGGACACCCTGGACAGGTCTCCAGTCCATCACAGGAACACAGAGACAAACAACCATTCACTCTCTCACTCACACCTAGGGACAATTTAGAGCATATGAGTCAAACTCAAGGCCTGGGGTCATAATGTGACCCTCGTAGACATCTCCTCTGGCATCCAAGATGATATGTGAAAAGTAAAATACTTCTATCTCTTGAATTTTTTCAGTAATCGTTGATTATGATGTTGAAAGCACAACATGGAACATTTGAGTATCTGATTTGAGATAATGTAGATTCTGAAATTGGCCCCTAGTTTGAAAAAGTTTTTTTTAATTTCAGCCCCCTTTTGTAAGTGACTTTGACACCCCTGATTTAGAGTTACCAATCAGCCTAACATTTTATTATTATTAACCTTTATTTAACCAGGCAAATCCCATTGAGTTCACAGGTCTCTTTTGCAAGGAAGGCCTGGGCCTGAAGGCAGACTAACATGTAAGGTTTTGGTCTGTGGGAGGAAACCATAGTGCCTGGAGAAAATCCAGACAGCACAGAGAGAACATGCAAACTCCACCCAGAAAGGTGGGGTTTGAACCAGCAACCTGCTCGCTGAGAGGCAACAGCTCTACCAACTGAGCCACCGCCCACACCCCGTGACTCATGCATGGAAATAAATAACCTTTGCAAATGTTTCAAGACATTCTGGAAACTCTTTTGCCCATTTTGTTTGCAACTGGTTATCAACAATTGAAGCCTAGTCAGATACAGGCTTTACAAAGGGTTATGAAAGAATATACGGCCATGGTAAACTTTAGAAAAATGTGCGTAATGATGTCTTAATATCAATACTATACACAATATGTATATGTGTCTGACATGCTTAAGTGATAAGTGACTATACAGGACATTAGAAAAGAGAATAAAGCAGGAACGGTTACTGGCACAAACACAACTGTTCTGTAAAATGTGCAGTTTTACTCCATTTCATTACCTACTGGATGCAAAGATGGCCTCAAGCTATTAAAATTTGTGTAAAATCTGAAAAGGTGCAGATAAGTTTCTTCATGATCTAGTTACAAATGAAGTTCTTTTGCTCCTCTTTAGGCTGAGCACTCTCCAATAAAGCCTGGTTTTGCATAGAAAAAAAACAACTTTCTGTTAATGAGTGCCAAAATTGTGCAATGTCCATGAATATTAAAGGAAAATAAGCAGGCCCAATGAAAAAGAGGTATATTACCTACCAGCACCCATGATGAGACCTGGAGCTGATTCTTTAGTGTGGACAGTACCAGATACATAGGGGTTATCTGCCCAGCGCAGATGAAGGTGGAGGTGGCAATCCGGCTGCAGGAGAGAAAACATCATTAATCCACCACATTGTAACAAAAAAAAAAAATGTGGGTGGGAATCCAAACTCTTCCTTAGCTGTGTTTAATGAGTTTTACTAGACATACACCAGATAATCTCACTGTAAAAGTAGCTTAGCACAAAGGTTTAAGTGCCTGTAATTGACACTTCACTATCATCAAGAAAAGGACACTTAAAGTTAATTTTTCCTCTGTGGGTTAGACAGTACTTTTCAATACTTCTAACATGGAGTTATCTCTTTGGGTCATAAAGATAAACCTATTGTGTGTAGGAGAGGGGATGCTTTCAGCCATTCTTCAACAGATGGAAAATTATGCAGGCAGACCTACAGTGATACACTGTCTTCTATCTGGTAAGCCAGATAGTAGATACCATAACTTGTGGCATCACTGAAGCAATATGTGTTCTGTCAGTGTTAGAAATGAAGGCTTCTCCATGTTTGATTGATGTAGTAGCTTAAATCCAGGAGAGCAGCTTTTTCACAAGACAATTCTGTTGAGGTATTGATGAGCTTATTGGGATGACAAGGTCGCTGTCAGAGATCCAACTATGTGTGTGTCTATCAAAGGAGGGAAACAAGTCTTACGCTGATATCTGCATCTCCTGTCATATCTGTCAACTTATGGGAACAGTAGTTTAAATAAAAGACCAGACTTGTTCCCCTCTATCTCTCAGTGTGGTTTAATGTATGAATCTCAGACGTTGGGTGACTCATTGCTTTTTGCGGTGTAACCTTGCAGCATCAACTTTGACAAGATGGATGGCAGAACTAGGCATTTCATGCACATTTCTTAAAGCACAACACTCATCCTTCCTACTCCCACTACAGTCATAGCATTTTTTAAACTTGTCTGAGGCATTGCAGAGTGATGGATCCTGGCAAGTGGAGGAATTTTATTTACCACCAGGCACAATGGTGGAATGGGATGCCAATAGTACCTTGGCCACAGTAGATTAGTTTAGGGCATCCCAATCATTTCAGGACACTACTTGTAAGAAACATAAAAGCATATTGTTGTCAAATGATAGGGGCGGCCAGTTAACATATACATATATGGTGAAAGCCATCTTGGATTCAGACATGGCAATGCAATATTTGATATGGACCTTTCATATACCTAGATGCAGACACATACCACAATTGAAAGTGGCACATGGCTTAGTTTTGATTCAATCATTTGAGAAAACTTTATATAAAACACTAAAAAGCATGGCTGCACAACTGCAGGATTTTGCAGTTTATACTGTATGCCACGAATGCTTGCAGAAGTGGAGGAAGAAGCCACCTCTCCTCTGTCCTGTGCGTGTGCTCTCCTGCTACGTTGTGTGCATGGCCGCATCACGCCCCTCTCAGCATCTTTTTGTGCACTTCAGAGACCAGTCTCGAGAACTTCCTCTGTCTGTTCAGCACCTGTCACGGAGGCTTTGTGAGGCTGTTTCACAGGCATATATTTCATCTGGATCTCAGCCTCCAGAGGGGCTCAGAGCTCACTCCACTAGAGGAATCTCATCTTCCATCGCTCTGCATGGAGGAGTGTCAGTGAAGGGCATCTGCACAGTAGCTTCCTGGGGTTCTCCGAGCTCATTCATTCATTTTATCTGCGTGATGTCTTCAGTTTCTCCCAGACTCCCTCTGTCCTCAGAGTTGTGTCAGAGTGATGATGCAAATGTTTTAGTGAGCCCTCCATTCTGCATGTTGTCACAACAGCAGGGTTTGACATTTCAGCCTTCAGGCTGACGCAGAAATTATTTTTCTCTCTGCTGCTCAGCGCGTCTCAAACACACAGATTCAGTGGCGCACGATTACACATGATTTGAAGGCTCAATAAAGATTGTTTCAAAGAGTGGAAGAAGATATCTGTGTGATTGTTGTACTGAACGGACTCAGTGAGGCATAGACTGCATCCTGCTTCACTTTTAACCCACTAGCGATAGCCTTAAAGGGCGAAGTCTATACAAAATAGAACATTGGTTACGTATTGTAACCCCAGATTCTATGAGTATACTGTAGGCACAGTACCTTAAGATCTTGGTCTCACTGGCTCCTAAATGTCTGAAGAAAAATGCTATTTGGAAATCTGTTCCTGGTCTCAGTGCAATTTATAGCAATTGGGTAGGGCCCACAAAGCATGTGGGTATGGACCAAAGCCTTCAGTGCTGTGCTGCATGTACAGGGTAAACCTAGAGTGGGAAAGGTTTGCAGGAGTGTGGGAAGGGTTCATAATGCCTTAAAATAGACATAAATAATAAAATAAATATAATGCCGCAACTTCACTAATTTTCACCTATCACGAGGGTCTCTGGAATGTGTATATATATATATATATATATATATATATATATATATACACATAATGTATTTTTCGCCCTATAAGTCATGGTATTTTTGCATGCCCTGCCACTTACAGGCTGAAGCGACGTATTTATGAAATTTTTCCCATATTTATAAACCAATTTTTGGCTGAGATGTAACAGTTTTCATTCATTCTGACTGACAAAAATTAACATTACCATTTTCAGCCACTAGATGGCACCAGAGTAGTAAGACATGCCGTTGTATCATGTAATAGGTACAAGTGGCTATAATGACAAATTTAAAAAAGTCCAAGACAAAAACAGCTGGACTTCATTTATTATAGTTTATACTTTATAGTTTTTGTCTAGAACTTTTTTGAATTTACCATGTCCTGGTTGACTGAGAATCTTAACCAGATATTATTGACTCAATTGCCTTGCTATAGCATGCCACCTTCGTTCTGCTTGCTGCTTGGAGCAACCATCAAACCAGCTGCACCGCCCTGGCGAAATGCAGCTAATTTGACCATTAAAGTGCATTTATTAGTAAAAGTTCAACTGAGACGCACCTTTGCTATAATTTCAAGCAAACAAATAATTGTTTTAGGTGCTTTTCTTGTTAAATTTTGAAGAAACGCGCAGCGATCCTCCTTCCTTTTCTCCTCCATTTCTGCACACTCCAGGGAGCACCGAGGCAGCAAATACTTTTGAAATACAGCTGATTTGACTGTAAAAGTGCATTTATTAAGCAAAAGTTACACTGAGACACACCTTTACTATAATTATGAGGAAACAAATAATTGTTTTTTAGCGTTACTCTTGTTAAATTTTTGTTAAAGTCCTCCCGTGCATGCTCCTGCGTCTGCCATTTGGCAGCCAAACGATTTTTGACTCAACACTGGCCCACATTTCTGGTTTGTTAGCGGTGACGCGTAACAAATGCGACGTGTCAGGGGTGACGCATCATAGATGCGACATATACGACGAAGCAACATATTTTTGGATTTTTCCGCGTTATTAGACAAATATGGACTGGTGACTTATAGGGCGGAGCGATGTTTATGGCAGAAAATATGGTATGCACACACACATACATACATATATATATATATATATATATATATATATATATATATATATATACACACACACAGAGGAGGGACAGTGGGTATATTGGTAGAAAGATGTTAGAAATGCAGCTGCAGGAAAAAAGCAAAGAGGAGATATATGGATGCAGTTAGAGAGGACATGGAGGTAGTTGGAGTGAGGACAGAGGATGCAGAGGACAGAGTGAGATGGGGGATGACGACTCGCTGTTGAGACCCCTGAAGAGAGAAAGGCCAAAAGAAGAAGAAGAAGACACGAGGGGGACATCCGACACACATTGAATGCATCACTCTGCTCCGCCTCTTCGGTTCTGATGGACCGGATAAATTTCAGAAAGCTCACCTCTGAATGAGACATGGATGCTTTACTTGTGAGTTATGAAACATTTTGAGTTGTGTTCTCTTACAGTGTTGTCACATTACAGACAGTCTTACAGTGCCAACCACAGCAGTGAATGATAAAAGTTAGCGTTCTAGCTTTAGAATTCATTTATTTATTTTTTATCAGTTTAGCATTAGCATCTGCTATTTTTTTAGTTAACGAATTAGCGGTTAGCAAAGCTAACTTTGGGGAGTGGTGGCGCAGAGGTTAGAGAGGTGGGCTTGTGATCCGAAGATCGCCGGTTCACGCCCCGGCCCCGACAACATCAAAAATTGTGGGTGGGGTAGGTGAAACACCCACACTTGCCCCCACCCTCATTCGCCTCACTCTGGGCCCATGAGCAAGGCCCTTAACCCCCACCATGTGCTCCCTAAAAAAACAAAACAAAAAAAAAACAGGTCTCTCTTGAAAATGAGTTCTCGTGGCTCAATGAGACTAACCTGGATAAATAAAGGCTAAATGAAAAAAAAAAAAAACTTCTACGTTAGCTGTGCCCACCACTGGGGTGACCATCTTAGAGTTTTACATGGCAACCCATTTGTCAATTGGGACCTTTTCTGCAACCACACAACAAAACAGAAGTCAGCATGATGCTTATTTTTCAAGTTATCAAATGTAAACTGGTAACATACATACACACACACACACACACACACACACACACACACACACACACACACGCACACACACACACACGCACACACACACACACACACACACACACACATTATTAAATATATACACATATATACACACCTGGATCAATTTTATTTGATTTTCCTTTTACATTCAATTGTAAGACGGGTACTGTAAATGGGGAAATAATTAGCAGTCTGAAGTCCTTTCTAGAAATCTGTTTTATTTTTTGCGCTGACTAAAAAAAATGTTCTTTGTGCAGCCTTCACTGTGTCACTAACTTTAATATATTATTTTTTTCATCTCATTGGTGGCAGGAGGTTTGAACCCAAAATGCAGATTGGACACAAAGAGCTAAAAAAAAAAAAAGCTGTCAAGGCAGCAAGACATACAAAAACACAAGGAGGGCACAAGAAACAGAAAAAGGCATGAGGGGGACCAGACAGCATGTGGAAAATTCATTCATTTTATTGAACCTTTATTCATACAGGTAAAAATAAAGATGATGATGAGTCATGATGGTGTTTCAATGATGACTCCTTGTCTCTCCACTGAGTCCTGTATGCACAATGCTCAACTAAAACTGGACTGAACACTGACAGAATAAATAGGCTGGGGCTGATGAACAAAATGATTGTGAATGTGACTAAGGAGACGGGACAAATGGAGATGGGCGTGGCAGGCAGACTGGAAAAGTGCTAAAGGAGAAGTGCATGGTGGTGCAGAGGAACACGGGAACAAATAAAATTTAAGTGGCAGGACAAAACACAAGAATTATTAAACCAGCAGACCCAATCATAAAACACAAAGATAATTTTTAAAACTAAGTGTAAGGATGGTACCATTTGCTGGTTCTGTTTGTGTCTGTGTTTCCCTAGTGTTTCCTCGTCAGTATAATTGGTGCCACCTTTGTCTCGTCACAGCTGTTGTAATCGCGTCTTGTCTTGTCCTTGTATATAAGCCTCCTGTTCTGTTTTGTTCCTCGTCGGGTCGTATTCGTTGGGTCTTCATGTTTCCTGCGTCTTCTGAGTCTTCCCTGAGCTTCCTGAGTCCTTTTGAGTTTCCCCCTGAGTCTTCTAGTTCATGTAAGTTTTGCTGCCACGTCAGCTTATTGTTTTGTTACCTTTTATTTTGTCATTAAAGTATTTAGTTTTTTAATCTGCCGAGTTGAGTCCTGTCTGCACAACTGGGTTCGTTCCTGTCCACCAAATCCTGACATTACAACCCGACCACATATCAGAACCCAGCGGGCAGGATTCTCTCGGCAACTTACCTTTTTTCCTTTTTCCCTCCGAGCTTCTTGAGATGAGCAGGTCCACAATCCGGTGCGGCGGGTTCTGCACCAGGCCCGTCCGCTCACAAGGACATTATGACCAGGAGGTGGAAATCCTGTCCTCACTACTCCTGGTCCTCGAGGAGAACAGAGCTCGGCACCGGGGAACCCACCAGGTCCCTGTTTCTGAGTCCGCCTCACCCGGCTACTCGGGGTGGACGTCGGGGGAGGACGAAGAAATCGAGGACAAATTCTGTGTTGTTCCTGTCCCCCAACTCTCCCGCCGTCACCGGGGAGGAAGAAAGCAGTCCCGGGGGCAGTCCGCGGCGGCCGGCCCGGTCTCGTCGGCTGAGCAGAATCTTAGAGTTGGTTCTGGTGTTTCTGTGGGACCCGGATCCGCCGCCTCACCTCTCAGGTTTCCGGTGGGGGCGAGGTCCGACATCCCGCGGGAGCTCCGGTCCACTCCTGTTCGGTTCGGCGAGTCCGGTCCACTTGACGTCACAGGGGCGGATTCCGTGGCCTCACCTTCCAGGTTCCTGGTGGAGGCGGAGTCCAGCCTCTCACCATCACACCGTGCCGCGGCTGTCCAACCCAGTCTGACCGAACCTCCTGAGCAAACTCCCAGTGACTCTGTGGGGGCGTGTTCCGCCGCCCCACCTCCCAGGTTTCCAGTGGGGGCGACACCTGACACCACACCCTCACATAGAGACATTTGTCCATCAGTCGCATATTCACCCCATGAATTATCCCAAATAAACCACACTCTGCAAAGCCTCTTTTGTTCTGCTAAAAATAACCAGGACTGTCTAGATACTGTGCTCACCCTTGCCGAAAAGTTTTTATTATCCCAACCCGGTTTAGTCCAGCGACCTGAATATCAGCAGCTTCTTGCTGCACTCAGAACTTTGAAAATTGAACATGATTCTGACTCAGCACCAGCATCAGAAGACCCTGCCTCTGTAGACCCACCGTCCACGCTGCACGCAGCCCCCGAGGTTGACCCATCTGCTAAGCTTCTCGCTCCTTCTTCGCTCGCTGAGGTCCTCGCTCCTGCTCCGCCAGCTGAGGTCCTTGCTCCTGCTCCGCTCACTGAGGTCTTCGCTGAGGTTCTCGCTGCTGCTCCGTTCGCTGAGGTCCTCGCTCCGTCCGCTGAGGTCTTCACTCCTTCCGAAGACTCAGCCGCCAAAGACTCAGTCGCCATTTCAGAGGTCTCAACGTCCACCGAGGGCCCCAGGTCCGCCGACATCGCTACGTCCACCGAGGGTCCCAGGTCCGCCGACGTCGCTACGTCCACCGAGGGTCCCACGTCCGCCGATGTCGCTACGTCCACTGAGGGTCCCACGTCTGATGACGTCGCTACGTCCACCGAGGGTCCCAGGTCCGCTGACATCGCTACGTCCACCGAGGGTCCCACGCCTCCAGAGGGTCCTACGCCCACCGAGGGCTCAGTTCCTGCCGCCGCAGCAGAAGAGTCAGTTCCTGCCGTCGCAGCACCCAGGGTCTCTCCGTCGTCTGCTGCAGAGCCACAGGCCTCTCTGACAGCAGCAGCATCTCCCCAGGCCTCGTCACCTGCTGCCAACTCTCAGGTCCCCTCGTCGCCTGCTGCCAACGCTCAGGTCGCCTCGTCGCCGGCTGCCAACTCTCAGGCTCCCATGCCGCATGCTGCAGCTCTCCAGGCTCCCACGCAGCACGCTGCAGCTCCACAGGCTCCTACGCCGCACGCTGCAGCTCTCCAGGTTCCCACGTCATCTGCGGCTCCCTCCAAGTCTCCAGAGGGGTCGACGCTCTCCAAGTCTACAGAGGGGTCGACGCTCTCCAAGTCTCCAGAGGGGTCAGCGCTCTCCAAGTCTCCAGAGGGGTCGGCGCTCTCCACATCTCCAGAGGGGTCGGCGCT